CCAGTGTGCACCATTATGCTTTGGGGGCCGCGAGGCGTCCATTTTCAGTTTACCGAAAGTCTATAAATTGTACTGTGTGTTTCGAATCTTTGACCATCTCACTTTTCTAAGCACTTTAAACGCTAATATAAGAGTTTTCAACCGTCTGAAATTCGTTTTATGGTGATATTTGGATACTAGAAGTATTTTGGTGTAAATCATAACAATAACAGAGGCGCGCGAAGCATAATGGTGCAAACTTGGCCTTTAAGTCCGCCATTGGGATCTCATTGTTTTGGTAGGGGTCACTATCATTACAATTACAAATCTGCCTAAATCTTCCCTCTACGTGATTGCGGACCTTGCTAATGATGCTACGACTACTGTAGTCTTTCTTTTAGAAGAATAATTCTCCTTGCAAAGTGTCCTTTTAGCTAGTTTAGACTTKTTTACCTGTAARTTCCATTCTCCAACAGTTGCRCTGTCAGCCAACATGCCCGTYACGTTYAAGTCAGAMGARAAWGGAATCTTGCGTGACTTCATTTCTTTTTGCCAYTTCGACATCAGCATCTCTCGGAATTCTTGGTTGAAAGGTCCTGAGTACGACAGAAAGCCTGTGCACACAAGAACGTCGCCKACAAGCCTGATGGGAAAAGAAAAGAMAATTGAGGATGTGASAGAGAAAAGAAGAAAAGAGAATGAGAAAAAAGGTCAGTCCACTAGTARCCCCAACTSSCAGACACGTCGATTTGCTAGTCCACCAAACGACATGGAAATACTAMCAAAAGTCCYCTTTACACTTGCGATATTTGCAGAGTGATTCTCGCGGTGATCGTGGCGCGACCATCGCCTGAGTTTCGAACATGCTTGAAAATTGGCTGCAACTTCGCGTCGATTTTCCATCGCAGAATTGTTTACACGTACGATTTTTGTTGCGCAATAGCAAAAATCGCAAGTGTAAACGAGCCTAAAGACTACTCTCAAATGACACCAACAACTACAAACAATCAAGTACACGACGAAAACCTTACCTTCCTATCTGTTCTTGGAATTCTCTGCTTTGCTCCGTCCATCTTTCTTTCTCTCCTCCTAAACCACTAATCAATGCTGAGGCTGCCAACATCTTCCTACGACACGCTTCTGCGCTGTCCAACAAATCCTGTGAATACGGAAAAACAATGATATTTGATATACTACGCGCTCTTGGATTGGTCGAAAAACGATCAAATGACGCCACTTAATCTTACGCAAGTATTGCTTCTGAATGTTTCCATAAAATAACTTGCGCTTCGAGAYATTTTGAGGAAAATATTTCATATACTGTCAAAAACGTTTTCGCGTTCATTGCTTTCAAACCAAGAAACTTACGGCGGGCTGTAAAATATCAAATTGAAAACATGTTTACCTGTTTTTCTTGTACAGCTTTGTCATACATAGCTTGTGCCGCATCCAGTTCGGCCTGTTTTTCATCAAGTTGCGCCTGCGCTTTGTTCAAGTCTGCCTCGGCCACGCCTAACCGAACTTCTTGAATTGCTAAATTGGCCTAGAAACGAACAAAAATGACTGATAAATGTGTGTAAGTCTAACCGGGTCAGTCCACTGATTTATGATTACTTATCATTTAGATCTCTACATTGCTCAAAATAAATAAAATAAAGATTTAAAGAAATATAAAAAATATAAAAGAAAATACTCAAAATAACTCATTTAAATAAAGTATGGAAGGTGTCCGTTATAACGAGAGACTGTATTGTTAATGACAGTACCTTTAGTGGAAGAACCTCTTTGTTGACACCAAAGAACACCGACATGGCTCGTGTCCAGGAACACAGACCAGCTACGTCACCGCAAACCTGGAGGAGTAAGGAGACTGGAACTTAGTATACCCTACTACAGACTTGGTTATCACCTTAATCATTATCATCATCATCATCATCACCATCATCATCATCACCATCATCATCATTAAAATACACCATCGGAGCATTGGTGTAAAAGCAAGCCTACCCTTTTAGCAGTTTCGATATTGAAGTCATCTGCATCCAAATATGGCGCCAGAAGTTCAACGGTCTCGTCGGTGATGCTGTCTTTAGGGAAGTTTACAAGACTTGGCAGGAAATCAGACTTACTCATCATCTTAATGACAACAGGGATACATCATTGAATGAATGGATTTATAAACAAAATGAATAAAGAAATGACTAAATGATCAAATGAAAATATGAACAAACCAACAAACGAAGACATGAGTGGATAAATATATAAAAGAATAAACAAAATGATGGATGGATGGTCGAATAAATAGGAGATGGATGAATGGAATGGATGAGCGAATGGGCAAAACAATGGAACAATATACCCCGAGCCACATATTGACAAAATGACGTCGCTGCCCCTTGCCTATTGTATGTTTTTAACAGTTAAAACTGTTATTGTCATCACTACCAACTTTTAAAAGCCATCTTACCTTGAGTGATTCAGACCAAGATGGCGTCATACACATTCGTTCTGCGTCGTACTTCACGGCATCTGTCTTCTTACCCAGCAGTATTAGTACACAGTCCATAATCCTCATAATGAGATGAGGGGGCTTGGGTAGTTTACGAACAGCTGCAATGTGGAGTGGCTTGATAGTCTGACAAAGGAAAGAATGAAATAGTGACTTGACTGTAAAGGAGGCGTAGAGGTCGAGTGATTAGAGGCCGCTTTTTCGAGAGTTGAGTGGTCCAGTCCACACATAAACACTCTTTAAAAATAAAAATTTAACACCGTAAAAAAGTATGTGAAATAACTTACTACTACGGTGTTAAATTTATCTTTTTACATAACTGTTTCTTTAGAAACACCGACGCAGCTCACACTAGTTTACCGCTAGTTCCCACCACTCTTTAAAAATAGCTATTTTGGTAATTTTCCCCGGAAAATGACCATTTTTATCGTTTGTAAGAAACACTTTCCAAAGTTTTTAAGTGTGGAGCCGTAGATCTCTTATAAACTTCATACTTGATAGCGCTAAAGGGACATGAGAGCCTACACTGCTATTCGATTCAGTTCATACCTGAAGGGCAGCTTCTGCTTCCTCCAATGCAGGTTTTGCTTTTTCAAGTTTGACCTCAGCTACAGCTTTATCAGCCTGAAAACACCAAAAAAAATTATCTGATAATCTAGAAAAAATACTAGAGAAAGAAAAACTATTTCGCGCTCAGCAGAATGGGATACTTTAAGGGACTACTTATGGTAACTGATAAGGGAACTACTTCGCACACAACAGCATGGGATAGAGTGAACGCACTTAATCCTTGCAACTGTACAAAATCTAAGTAGTATTAATTTGTACTAGAAGTGGACCTGAAGAATTCAATTTGCGTACCGCATGCACGATTAGACCTACTAAATACAATTAAATAGAACTATTTGGTTTGTACAGTTGCACGGATTACGTGCGATCACTCTACCTAAGGGGGCTACTTGCGGTAACTTAATAATCTAGAAAAATGACAAGAAAAACCATTAAATGTTTTCGTGATCGAAATACAGAATGGAACTACTTCGTGCACAGCAGCAAGGGATACTTTAGGGGACTACTAATGGTAACTTAATAATCTAGAAAAATGACAAGAAAAACCATTAAATGTTTTCGTGATCGAAATACAGAATGGAACTACTTCGTGCACAGCAGCAAGGGATACTTTAGGGGACTACTAATGGTAACTTAATAATCTAGAAAAATGATAAGAGAAACCATTTAATGTTTTCATGATCGAAAGACAAAAGTAAAACTATTTCGAGCACAGCATCATGGGATACTATGGGGACTACTAAGGAAAACTATTTCGTGCACAGCATCATGGGATACTATGGGGTGTTCCTTACAGCAATGTCGTCGACTATAGCCTGTGCTTTGTCTTTGACCTTTTGGACTTGCGCTTTGACCTTCTCAGCAGCTTGTGCTTTTACGCTGACTTCCTTTAACACCTGAGATGCAGAGGATACAAATTTGGTGTGAACTATGATTGCCAGCATTGAAAAACAGCTGTAAAAATATACTTCTTGTCATAGTCTAATCTTAGGTCCTGTTCAGACGTCGATCTTTTTGTAGCGTTTAATTTATTTGCTCGAGTAGAGCTTACGAGCATTTATCGACTTTGGTTCACTCGGACGAACTTAACATTATCCGTTAAATATCAAAAACGTCTCGTGAACTACAAGTAAGCAATAAGATAAGACGCTGCAAAAGATCGACGTCTAAACCAGGTCTTACTCTGTCAGCTTTCTCCGATGCCACGGCAAGTTCTTTCTCCTTAACGGCCAGTTCTCTAGATAACTGCGCGACAGACTCGCTGGCCTCCATTAGTTTGTCTAACCCTGTATTCATACGACGAGCCAGTTCACCAATCTCTTCTCGTTTCTCGCTGTAGATCGACTTATATCCATTGATGAATGACAGGTAGGACTTGGGGGTCACGTGAGTAGCACGGCGAAACCTGGGTACGACGGTATAATATCTATGAGTTTTTTAAACGTATGAGCAAAGAGTAATGGAGAGTACGCTGATTAGAGACTATCGCGTGCGCAAATGGGATAGCCTAGATAGACGGAAGCTTAGAATCTCATTTTACTRCTTTCCATTACCGCGTCTTGAAAGCAGAGCGAATTGAGGGTAGCATAGGATTATAATGAGGGGAGGGTAGTTGAAAATCGACAAAAAGTAGCCGTGACCATCAGCTAAAATAATTCCCAAATCCATCCGAAATGCGCGCGGACTTATGTCAAAAATCGTGCCTTTCTGACTCTAATTTATACTAAACCATAACACAGTGGTTTTCAGTCTTACAACGTGAGTAGCCACAAAAACTGTTACCTCTGGAAATAGTCATTGCAGCAGTTGGCAACACCATCGTGTATGACACCCATGGAATGAACGATCTCTTTCTTAACCTCTGGTGTACAGACTATATCAAATGATGAAATAAAATGGTTGGAGACAGCGATGAGAGCATCTTTTGGCCAGCGGCTGAACCAGTCCATCGTACAACCGCTGATCAAGCCGGGGAACTTTAGAGATCGATTGCGGAACTTTTCACCAACCTGAGAAGTAATTAAGGGCACTGTTAGTAGCAATTTACAATCAGAGGACTAGAAAAAAGAAAGTCAAGGAAAGTAAGGAAATAGAGACAATAAAATGGTAAAAAGTGGGGAAAACGAAGAAGAAAAAAGGATACGAGTGTAAAAAAAGCAGAGAAAATAGAAGCGCGCACAATAACGGACATAAAAGAGACAGAAGAAAATAGAAAAGAAGACAGAAGGGACGAGAACCAGAGAGAATGAAATGGAAATAAAAGAATAGAAATCAAAAGAAAAAAAGAATTATTAAAGTAGAGGGAAAAATAGAAAGAAAATATCTTACCGGTGAGAAGCACAGTACTACATGCAAGTTATGCTTAGCTCGAGTCAGGAAATACTCGTACAGGTTCTCTCCTGTGGGGGGTCGTCTGGGGAATTCTTTTTTCATGACGGGAATCAGTTCCCCACAGATCTCGTCGATCTCATCGCGTGCAAACAAATTGGAAACCTGAAAGATATTTGTAAACTTGATAAGCCTTGGGAATCCTCTATTAAAATGCTGACAGATGATTGTCTTTAGATTCGCGGAAACTATCATTAATAATATATCATCTTCACCAACATCGATAATTGATAAAATTCAAATAACATATTCATAATTACTAATAATGAATGAATGTTAATGAATATTGATATCATTGCGGTATTTTTAATAAAAATTAACAATCAATATTATAGTACTAATTGCATTTTGAAAAATAAAATAATAATTACTGATTAATGGTAATGATTTATATCATCATTATGACATTATTATGGAATATTGATAATTTGAACATCATTACCTCTCCAGATGACAGCACATTGTTCAGGTATTCCAGGAAGCCCTCGTCCTTGATTTCCTGGTCGGTGAATATAAAGGTGATTCCCTGGCCATTTTGTCCCGCCACTCGATACAAGTACTTTAAGTCTTCCATTAAATTCGATGCATTGTAGGACCTGCACGAGAAGAATTAGATTTGTTCAATAATGAGACTCATCCCGAAAAACAACTTTTATCAGAAAATCTAGAAATTTCATTTTTTTCGCAGCTATAATTTTAATGCGATAATTTTTCAGTTAGTTCCCTACCCCTACCCCACTTTGTAACGTTCTGAACCTGCCAGTGATGGAGTCAGGGAAACTGACACAAATTAAAATTAAAAATAATGACAATAGTAACAGGGAAAAATCATCAGTATAGCCAATTACAGGGAAAAAAACTACCATTTTATAGAACAACCGCAATCCTATATGCTCTTCTAAACAGACCGAAAAATCAAAACGGAAAACCCGGTCAAAAAAATATTTTTGAATAACAGGAAAAGCAGGAATGACAAAAAATGGCATAAATTCATAAAGGAGCTCATCGATTAAAAAATGAAAGCTGGATAACTTGAACGAAAGCTTTCGAATAGAAAAATCGTACTGGGCTTGATACAGTCTAGATGATGCGAGAATAAGGGCAGTCAAATCACAAATATATCTCCAAGTCTCTAATAGTCTAGGGGAATACACAGGGAAAGTATGTCTATACGAAGGTGGGGTATTTCCCGTGCCCCCTTCCGAGAAAAACATTTCTAGCGAAAAATCTCTTTGGGAATTTAATGACGTTTTGACTCACTTTTGTTTATATTGTACAAGGTCAATAGACGATGACGATCAATGTACTTTTGTTTGAGATTCTTGGATCCTGTACATTATTTCGACATGAATTGTTTATGACTTTTTTTGTACTAATTGAGTCGAAACTAATCATACAATCGCAATTTTAGTTCAAGGAAGCTATGAGCTAATTTTACTGATTTGATTCCTAATATGTCAAAAGATCAAGTTTTTCTTGGAAAATCCCAACAATGAAGCAATCTTTATAATTACTGACGTCATCTTTTGGTTTCAGTGATAAAATCGGTATCGACTGAGCGATATCATTTGAACGACAGACATTACTTTTATCCCGGAATAAACATTTACGATAGAAAGATTTTATGAGGTTTATTTAGATATCGTGCCTTTGTCGTTGTGATCATTTCAAAGCCATGATCGTTACTTTCCCTAATATTTTCCCCTATTTCTGGGAAATACCCCGGTCTGCAAAAGATAAATTATTGAGTTGTGCAAGAGAGTTATCACTCTCTATTAGCACATCACTCCAGTGCAAGTCTGATTGAAAGTTCGCTGTCAACTCTAAGATCTCTCAAACTTGGAAGAATGGCGAAGCTGATGGAGCTCTTTTCTCTCCGAAATTTTGGTCGTTTCTTGCTACTCGGCATTCTGGTCGCCCAAGCAGCTTTATTTTCACACTATGCAAGCTTTTACTTAAAGAACAATAATCTTTATGCTTTAGTTCTGCTTGTCATTCCAACAATTTGCATGTATGCTTACGTCTTGAAAGAGAAAAACACTCAACTGAATTGGCAGTGGTTGGTATGGCTAGTCTATGTAATCAGCGTTCTTGTGCCCATGCTGTGTCTCCTCTTCAGGATTGATTTTATTAAGAAACTTGACAAGAACGACTTCTTTGGGCCAAACTTTCTTAAGATCACTATATGCGGAGCTCCAGCCATCGCAGTTTTCCTCTTGACTACAGCAAAAGACTCCCAGCAGTATGACGGCGCAGTGGCGCAGTTGTGTGGATCAATTGCTCTGGATTCATTCGACGAACTGGAGTTGTTAGAAATGCTTTTACACCAAGAAATAGCTTCCCATTTCTCGTCCGGCATTGAAGCGAGCATCATAGCATTTGTCTGCATCAGTTTCTTTCTGACAGCCATGGAAATGGGAGAAAATAAACTAGATGGTGGTCAAATGGAGCTTCGCAGTAACCGTCTATACCTTCTACGACTTGTCTTTCAAATGTTGCTCGTCAATATTCCTCTGTTGACCATTCGTCTTGTTGTTTGGACGAAATACGGACACGATGCGTCGATTTTCATCGCTAAAAATGCCATCATCATCGCCACCTCATTGATGGAGGTCATAAGGGTAATCATTGAACAAAGGTGCTAATGCACTAAAAACTGATTTAAAAACAGTGCGTGACATATATGAGAAGTTTAAAGTCTCTATTTACACATACAAATCTATTTAAGAACTCCTAAAATGCATACTGTATTTATGTATTTTAGTAATATACAGAAATTATGATCATTTTGACTCATATTCCAAGTATATATAAAATAAATAAGAAATTATGGGATATCTGCTTTTATTTTTATTTTTTTCTTTCATATATCAGATCATATCTTCATATTGCTGTATATATTTACCATATAATTATCTATAATATACCTATATCTTTTGATTCCATATATTGCAATAATTAGTATGTATTTTTACTAATTAATCAAGATATTATTATTAATATATATTTTTGTATATAATATTTTATCTCTATTTTATTTATTCATTTATATTTTTTCCTTTTTATCTCTTTTAGATATCACTGCTTTTTCTATATTTATATTTATCATAACAAAATTTATTGCTAATAGTAGTTCTTGATAGCCAAAATTGTAAATTAGAATTTTTATTTTTTATTTGTAATTGTTTTATCAACGAGAAATAAAGATTGTTATTCTTATTAAACATTTCCATATCAATAGGAGGAGGATAAACTATTAAATATACCATAGTTAATACCATATTAACTATGTATATACATTAAATAACACATAAAAGACACAATAAAATAATACATACAGAGTGAATATATGAACAAATATAACAAAATACGTAGCACTGAAACAAGTATCCAATATTTGCAAACTGTATTCTCGTTCAGGTTCAATGAGGTTATCATTGATATCATTTATAATTTCCAAAATATCAAAATCTCTTAATGCCTGCAGGGAAAAACCCAGTTTGTAGCGATGAAGACGGTCCCTTTTCCGTCACTCTTCCGGGAAAAATCTTGACTAGGCCGGAAATTCAGTTTAGACGTTTCAGCCTCCTTTTGTTTATTTTATACAACATCAGTAGACGATGACGATCGAAATACTTTTAATTAAAGATGTTTTTAAAAGAAATTGTCAGTCCGGAAGTTAGTTTGTAGTCGCATACGATTAAAAAAAGGTCACATATCGACATGATTTTCCCTCAAAATTAAAGGCAATAATTGATCATTAAATATGTGCACGGTTGCATTATTATTTCACGCACTTAACCTCTGAGGTATATATACCTTTGAAATTACACCATTGATGCAAGTTTGTCTGTTGTAGGACGAAAAATAGCATCTCGGTCTGCATTGAAAATTTCTATATAAATGTATAAACGTAGTGGTTTCTAAAGCAAGTACAATCGATCAAAATTTGCATTCCTAACTGTCATCAAATTTTTCCGGGAAAATCCCTATAGAGTAAACTTTGTTTTTTGACTACGCTTATTATAAAATAATTACTTATCGCCAGAGCGAAGTATTTTGACAGTCAGACATTACTTTGATATAACATTTTCTCTTGATATTTTTGACGATTTCTTTGATAGTTTGCCTCTGCAGTTATGAACATTTCAAAACCATCACGTCAATTTCTATAAATATTTTTCTGGGAATTGACCCGAGGTCGGCCAAATAGTATATAGTACTGTACTGTACAAGGAATTTACCATTTCTTATTTCGCCTTCAACCGAATAGTGCGACATAAGTTTGTTTGAAAGTTACTGTTAACTTTTTGGAAGCAAAACAAAACGGTTTAAACTCCATATACTTTACACTATGGCAGTAGTTCGATGGATTGGTCGTTTCTTGTTGTTCAGCATTCTGGTCGCTCAAGCCGCTATATTTTCACACTATGCAAGCTTTTACTTAAAGAACGACAATCTTTATGCTTTGGTTCTGCTTATTCTTCCAGTGATTGGCATTTATATTTTTCTCATGGCAGAAAATACTAAACAGCTCAATTGGCAGTGGCTGATATGGCTAGTCTATGTAATCTTTGTTCTTGTGCCCATGGTGATTCTCCTCTTCCGAATCGATTTCACTAAGAAACTTGACAAGAACGACTTCTTTGGGCCAAACTTTCTCAAGATCACAATATGCGGAGCTCCAGCTATCGCAGTTTTCCTTTTAACGACAGCAAAGGACTCCCAAAAGTACGAAGGCGCAGTGGCGCAGTTATGTGGGTCGATCGCTCTGGATTCATTTGACGAACTGGAGTTGTTAGAAATGCTACTGCACCAAGAGATAGCTTCCCATTTCACGTCCGGCATTGAAGTAAGCATCATATTTTTTGTCTGCATCAGCTTTTTTCTGACAGCTTATGAAATGGCAGAAAATAAATTCATTGTGGACGATGTGGACGATGCCGATGAGCACGGCAAGGTGGAACTTCGAGGTCAGAGCGTGTACATTCTAAGACTTATCTTTCAAATGATGTTCGTCAATATCCCTCTGTTGACAATTCGTCTCTATGTTTGGAGGAAATACGGACACGATGCATCAATCTTCATCGCTAAAAATGCCATCATTATCGTCACTTCATCGATGGAAGTTATAAGAGTAATCATTGAAAACATTTGCAAATGAAGACCAGTGCAATACAAACTGATTTCAAATCAGGGGAATGTATATATTTTAATACAAGTTAATTGCTACCTTTGTAATGACACAGTAATACAAACGAAAAAAATATTATAGATTGTCATTTTCAAGAAATTCTCACTGCTAACTATCGACGTATATTATACTAGTAAGTGCCTAACTTTCCTAGCTGCTTGTTGTACCAAGTCATGTATATTCTCATATGACACCTAGTTCAGTCATGCATAATGGACTATCCTATTCTTAGTGATGCACGTACAGTACGTACATATAACATATGTACATAAATATATGCACACAGATAAATAAATACTTTTAAAAACCTTAGCACTGAAACTAGTATCAGTATTTACAAACAGCATTCTAGTTCAAGATTAATAAAGTTATCATTGCTAACTTCTATCATGTTCTATGATAGTCTTTCGTTGACAGCAGGGAAAACCCCCGTTTGAAGCGACGATGATGAGTTCTTCTCCACCTCCTCTTCCGGGAAAAGTTTCTCTCAAAACATCTCATTGGAAATTCAGTCTAGAAGCTTTTGTTTACTTTGTACAACGTCACTAGACGATAAGGTTCAATATACTTAAGTAAAAATGCTTCCAAAAACACATTCTTTGGCCGGTTAGATCGCGTACGCTTTTAATAGAAAGGTCACATCGCTAATATGACTCTCTCTAGTTTCAACAAGAACTCTTCGCGATTGTTTTCTTCATAATACACTCGAAAATATATTCTAAGGAACTATAAGCTAATTTTAATTTTCCATTTGAAAAACACTAGTATCTATATTGTAAATCGATTGGCTTCATTTTGATGCGACGGTTATAACAGGGTTTGGTTCGACTAATTTTCAAGGAAAAGATTTGTTTAACAGTGACATTTTTCGACGTTTACTTTGCTGTCTGTAGTTATGAACATTTCAAAGCCATGACGTCACTTTCTATAAATATTTTTCTGGGAATTACCCGAGGTCGGCCAAATAGTATATACTACTGTACTGTACAAGGGAATTGCCATTCTTTATTTCGCCTTCAACCGAATAGTACAACATAATTTCTAAAAATGAATGAGTCCTCTGCGTTTACTAGTGATATTTTTAATACCGAGCTTTCGGCCTAAGCGGCCATTACAAAGAAATTCTAAGTACAACATAAGTTTGTTTGAAAGTTACTGTTAACTTTTTGGGACACTATGGAAGTATTTCGATTGATTGGTCGTTTCTTGTTGTTCAGCATTCTGGTCGCTCAAGCCGCTATATTTTCACACTATGCAAGCTTTTACTTAAAGAACGACAATCTCTATGCTTTGGTTCTGCTTATTCTTCCAGTGATTGGCATTTATATTTTTCTCATGGCAGAAAATACTAAACAGCTCAATTGGCAGTGGCTGATATGGCTTGTTTATGTCATCTGCGTTCTTGTCCCCATGGTGATGCTCCTCTTCCGAATCGACTTTACAAAGAAACTCGACAAGAACAACTTCTTTGGGCCAAACTTTCTCAAGATCACCATATGCGGAGCTCCAGCCATCGCAGTTTTTCTTTTCACCACAGCAAAGGACTCCCAAAAGTACGAAGGCGCAGTGGCGCAGTTATGTGGGTCGATCGCTCTGGATTCATTCGACGGATTGGAGATGTTAGCAATGCTACTGCACCAATCAGTCAACCAATCAGTCAACCAATCGATAAGTCAATTGGTTAATCAATCAGTGGGCCACAAATCCTTAAATCAAACAACCCATCAACTTTGTAATGAATCTTTCCATTTGCCGTCCGAGATTGAAACATACAGCATATTATTTGTCTGCATCAGCTTCTTTATGACAACTGTGGAAATGGGAGAAAACAAATTCGATGGAGACGGTAGTATGGAACTTCGAAGGAACGATATATATATCGTAAGACTTGTCGTTCAAATGCTTTTCGTCAATATTCCTCTGTTGATAATTCGTCTTGTTGTTTGGACGAAATACGGACACGATGCGTCAATTTTCATCGCTAAGAATGCCATCATCATCGCCACCTCATTGATGGAGGTTAAGAAGAGTATTTTGAAAGCATTTGTAGTGAAGATCCGTTCAATACAAACTGATTTTAAGTCAGGGGAATGTATATATGAACAGTTTACCATTTTAATAACGGCACAGTAATAGAAACAAAAAAAAAAAAAATAGTATAGATTATGTTATCTCTTTTTCAAGAAATTATCACTGCCACCTATCATATCGATATTATATCTAACATTCCTATCTGCTTATAGCTTTGTTTGTATTATTGTAGTACCAAGCCATGCATATTTTCATATGACAAATAGGTCAGTCATGCATAAGAGACTATCTTAGTGATGCACGTACACCTAATTAAAGAAACGTTGTCAGGTCCAAAAAGATCAAATCATAGAAGCTAAGACCGAAAGGGTACTTGGAAGACAAACAATTTGGCTAATTTTCATAACAAACAGCTCTCCAGCATAAAAGACTATTCATGCTGTTAATCTTCTTTAGTGTACACCGTATATACAAATGTAATCCCAATTTAGTGGTACTCAAAATCCGTTTCGGTCTTAGCTTCTATGATGTGACCTTATCGAACACGACTACGTTTTTTCGATTAGGTGTATACACGAGAACGGTGAACGGTGATTGTCGATGGGAGATTGCACGACCGAAAACTATAGGACCCTATAGTAGCGCATATTTGACAAAACAAAATTGCATAGAAATTGAAACTAAATGGAGCCAATGTTTATCACAAACTATCTTACCGTATAAATCAGTCATATCAGTTAGATTATTTCCCATCAATTAACAGAACCCATGGCCCTTTCGGTTGTGCAATCAACGTTTGACATTTCGCCATTTTATCCGACAACCTTTTTGGAAATAGGTAATATAATATATGTACATAAATATATGCACGCAGATAAATAAATACTTTTAAGTATTCATTTATTTATTTTTTTAAGTATTATTTAAGGGTTAGCACTGAAACTAATACCAGTATTTGCAAACTTCATTCTAGTTTAAGTTAAATAAAGTTATCATTGCTAACTTCTATCATGTTCTATGATAGTCTTTCGTTGACCGCAGGGAAAACCCCCGTTTGTAGCGACGATGATGCGTTCTTTAACGAACAGGGATGATTGATAATCCATCAAACGTCATCGCATTTTTAAACGTCATCGCATTTTTCCTAGAAAATCCCTCCAATGACGTCATTCTTGGTTTTTGACAGCATCCTTATGTCCTTAGCATTAAATATTCGCGTATCCGGCGCTAGAGTGATCTATTTTGACAGTCAGGCATTACTTTGATCTGTTTAACAGTGGCATTTTTTGGTATATATTTTGATTGTGTGTGCTCTCTCTCTCTGTCGTTATGAATACCGACTCATTTGAAAAGCCATCGATGTCACTTCCTGTAAGCCATGTTTCTGGGAATTACCCGAGTTCTGCCCAAGAGCATATATTACTGAACAGTACAAGGGAACATTGCCATTCTTTGTATTGCATTCAAGCGAAGAATACGATTTAAGTTTGTTTGAAAAGTTGCTGTTAGTCTTTTGGAATCAAAACAAAGTGGTTTTTTTAAAAACTCTCACATACTTTGTACAATGGCAGTGGTTCGATGGATTGGACGTTTCTTATTGCTAGGCATTCTGGTCGCTCAAGCCGCTGTATTTTCACACTATGCAAGCTTTTACTTGAAGAACAAAGTTTTTTATCTCTTGGTTCTGCTTGTTCTTCCAGTGATTGTCACTTATGCCGTTCTCGTGGCAAAGAAAACTAAACAGCTTAATTGGCAGTGGTTGGTATGGCTAGTCTACGTCATCTTTGTTCTTGTCCCCATGGTAATTCTCCTCTTCAGGATCGATTTTACGAAGAAACTCGACAAGAACGACTTCTTTGGGCCAAACTTTCTTAAGATCACCATATGCGGAGCACCTGCCATCGCAGTTTTCCTTCTAACGACAGCAAAGGACTCCCAAAAGTACAAAGGGTCWGTGRCGCAGTTATGTGGGTCGATCGCTCTGGATTCATTCGACGAACTGGAGCTGTTAGAAATGCTACTGCACCAAGAGATAGCTTCCCATTTCWCRWCSGGCATTGAAGCGAGCATCATATTCTTTGTTTGCGCTAGCTTCTTTTTGACAGCTTATGAAATGGCAGAAAATGAATTCGATGGATATAAAATGGAACTTCGAAATGACGGTGTTTACATTATAAGACTTATCCTCCAAACGCTACTCGTCAATATCCCTCTGTTGACAATTCGTCTTGTTGTATGGAGGAAATACGGACACGATGCGTCGATTTTCATCGCTAAGAATGCCATCATCATCGTCACCTCGTCGATGGAGATTTTAAGAGTAATCATTGAACACGCGTAAGCAGGCGTATATATATTCAGAAAAATATATGAACATAAATGTAGAAAAAATTGAATACTGATACGGGGTATTGTATCCTAAGAACGAATTGCATTGTTAATCATTTTATCTCCACTCACTTTTTAAAAGGAGTTTCATGTTTTTGGTTTCGTTATCAAGTACTTCAATGCAAAGTAATCTAGTTTAGAATTTTTAGAATTCTTAATTTGAAACGCATCTAACTTGAGGTGTTATATCAACAGTGCATTGCGATATTGGAATACACAATACAGCATGACATTGTCTAGTAGTCAACGTTATCACAAATATCTTTATACGTAAAAAAAAGTGTTAAATTAATATACTGTTTATGAACTATATTTTCGTTCAGTTTCATGGTTTTAACTGTTATATTATACTAGTTATGTGACAATTCGTTTAGTAGGAAGACTACTTTGTAGTATATCAGCAATGGTACCTGAGTTTATAATACTCAAAACCAACATTTAGTTTTTTTTCATTCAGCATTATACGCTATATGCGTAATATAGCATATATAACATGCTCAGAAAATGTCGTCCCAAATGTGATACTAAATTAGAAGTAACCCTGGACACCCAACTCGTACTTTTGCAGTTTTTAAACTTTCAAAGCTCGAAGTTTTCAAATATATCCCCTTTATTCATAATTCCGCTTCCCCTGTTCAGTGTTGCGTGGCTTTTAAAGGACAGCTAAGGGGTTTGAATAGAGGTCTCAAATAAGGAAAATATGGTTAAAAATGAATTGCCCAAAAACTAATATGAAATATTGAACTCTAACCTTGTAAGTGTAATCTGAAAGATCTTGTAGCCAGCAATGAACGATGCCAGTCTTGTTAAGCTCTGTTTGCCCGAACCTCCGACACCGACCAGAAGGGCGTTGCCTCTTGGTGTGCGGACGATACGCGATACCTAATTTTATTGAATAGAAATACATGTACGTCTTTACAATCTGATGTAACCACAATCATCAACCAATGAGAGCGGGCGTTATGTGCTACATTATCGTAGGTTATAATACAATAATGGCTGACACTTTTGAGGAAAATGATTTGTTGGTGATARCACTAATCAACAAAACTTTATCAGGATCAAAAAGACTACATCATCTTTTTACTCCGACGAAAGATTAACGTCCGAAACGTTAGTTGTAAGTTGTAAGTTGTTCCACCTATTTTTTTACGGTGTATCTTTTTACACAACTGTTTCTTTGGAAACAGCGACGCAGTCACACTGGTTTACCGCTAGTTTCCACCATTATCAAGCTAAGACAGAAAGGGAGAATGGGAAGACATTATTTTATGCGCAYAGCAGTGTTTCTCTTCCCATAAACTGTGTACACAGATAGTCAAAAGCGTTCTGAACCTTTTACGTCACTACTTGATTTTCAATGCATTGTGGGATCAGTTTCTAGAGAAAACAACAACAAAAAATCCGCCATGTTCTGTCACAAACATATCCTACAATGCATTGCGTATACGGTACATGACGTAAAAGCATCAGAGGTCTATTTAATAGATTTCCACTTACCCTCATGAGATGAATCATGGCGTCTTTAAAGAACACGAGGTCCATTCCAGCACCGCGAATACTCTCATTATACTGCTCTAGGTACATGGTAAGCCTTTGCTCCAAAGTCTCAAAAGACTGGATCTACAATACAATTATTTATGGAATGTAAGATAGGATCGTCCATACCAGTCTCTCTCCTGAGTCACAAAAGACCACATCTGCTCGGACATGTTATAATAGATCGTTTTCAACCATTCCCATGAGATTCAAAAGATAAAAAACCGGCGGCCATGTTGGAGGAATGAACAATAGATGCAAAGGAGAAATCCTTTGTTAAAGTCCCTCCAAGATGGCCGCTGTGGTGAATAGTGAAAACGTAGAATACAGGACGCTCTTGGAGCGTTTACTCGGGATGCCTGTTGAACCTCTCTCCATACAACAGAAAAAACGTCAATGGTCGAGAAAAGCTCATTACAGCATAGTTGAAAATTGCGTGCAGTTTTGGAATATTTTAGATAAATAAAACAATTGTAAAAATAAACATTTCGAAGTCATTATACATTTCGCATCGTAACTCTCTGTACGTTTAACTAGATTAGTTACCGGTTCGTAGATTTTTGGTGTTTCGAAGTCAGCATCGTCAGGTTCATCACCAGTAGCTTCTGGGGCGTCCCTGGAGGGTTATTAAACAAAAGGGTGTTAAAGCGTCTATTCCTTTATTTATCTATCTAAAGGGCCATGGTCCACCAGCATTTTTGTTCTAGATTTTTCAAATGTGGAAAATGAGGTCACTTTAAATTCGAAATTTGTTTCCATCCTCCGTTTTTTTCGGGTTTTTTTCTTTGTTTGTTTGTTTTTGTTTTGTTTCGCTTTCACTATACTCCTCTTTGTCTTCATTTGTATCGATGCTCCTCTTTCTCCTCGAACATAACACGGAAAAACACGAAGATATCCCGAATTACACCCGAATACACGACGATACAGACGATTGACAGTGGATTAAGTTAGCCTCTACAAAAAAAAACATTTGTACTGATTTACCTTAAGAAGTCGACAAAGAACGGTGTAGCATCAACCAGCATTTGATATTCCTCCCCAAGTTCGTCMCCAACAACCCTCTTCATAGTCTTCTCGAACCAGTCTTTATCCTGCTGGCCGACGAATCGATCTGATACGACACGAATACACTCGTGTTTCCATAAACTCAAGACGTCACGCTCGCTTGTAATCACCTCTGAGATAGTGTTCAGCATTCCCTGCCAGATGCGTGACAGGTCACGCAAGTTAAACACGTAGTGGAATTTTGCAGGTGTTGGCAACATTTTGACCTGTAAAGAGTGTAACAAAATTGTAAAAATGCAGTGCTACTTATTATATGTAACTGTCT